ACTTTTTATTGTTGATTGGGTAACTCGTTATGGGTACATAAAATGCGGTTAATTGTTCATATGTGATGTGGTTAATATTAGCCATAATATAACAAATGACGTCTACCATATCTCAGGTTTAATTCACTCAGACTTGTATTGTCATAATTGAACCACACAGTCTGATTTCGTAAGTTGAATGCATTTATACCTAGGGAGCCAGTTGAACCTTCGTTGTACTTATAGATTTGTCACATAGCTGGAATTATGTTGGCAACTACTCTTTTCACGTGAATATATCATAGTTGTATGTTCTGTAGTCTTACACTAGAATCATCATCCTTAACTTTGATTTCACCGTAGGTTAACCTTTGAATGCGCCTCAAAGCTAAGCTTTAGCTTTGGTACAAATTTTGGAAACTGTCCTCGTTATGTGCACTGTTGTAATCCATCCTTGTATTCCTGTATCGCTAGGAGTGTACTACTGTTATGACAATAAATGATAATTCATATCTGCGAGGTTCGACACAGAGGCAACTACCAGGAGATATATTATGAAGTTTTTACGATCAGATCGCATTAGTTATGAACATCTCCTCATTTCTTAGCTCAAGGGTAGTATTTCATTCTGCGTCTAAGAATTTATCCGAGCCACCTATTTCTTTGCTTTGCTTTACGTGCGTTGCTATTGTCTATCTCTAATGTTCATTACTTTCCTCCATTGGTATCGTTCCAAGCGATGTATCATGATCAACTGGTATTTACGGTTATAAGGAGATCTCGCACATTCTTCTTTTTTATCAGTTGATTAGTCGAAGAATCTCAATAATTTTGCCAGTACTGTTCGATTTGTCTTAAAGTCAATTTTGTAGTGTGGGTTCAAACCTTATTCGGTAGAATGGCAACACAGACGTTGCGGGCGCTTCACTCGCTTTACTGTTACCGATTACCACAGTCCTTTCCCTATAGATGTGAATGTCGACTGCATGCTTGCCATCGAGGAATTTCCAAAGCATCATGCCGTGTCATTTCCACAAAACTTGAATGCATAACATTCCGAGTTTGGATCTTCCACTTTGATCAAGCTAGCTGATCTTCGCCGCGAAGCAGCCACCAGGCGTGGCATGAATTACTTTCATTGTAGACTAAGAACCTTTTTCCAGTAATGATCGACCTGGGAAAGACCTTCCTATGCGGTCATAGGAGAACTATCGCGCATGAGCATGCATAGAGCCCGGTTATGATGGGCAGATGCATGAGGTGTCCGTCGATACATTACTGTGCGATAGCCCAGTTCAGTTAGATGGCGAGCAATGGTGCTACGGCCGCATTTACATACCTGCTCGACATCCCTTATTCTAACATCCTTTATACACTCTTTATAGCGCAGATCGTTATCGCCAATGGTGATTGGCCTTCCTATAAGGTTGACTGGGACAATTTGTGTCGCTTTCTTCAAGACGCTTGAGCCATGATTCATGGTCCGATCGGTCGTAGTGCCTGCCCGAAAGCAGCGTCTGCCGTCTTCCTTACACTGATCTTCAACATACATCTGGAAAAGCAGAATCGAGCGTAACTGAATCTCACTCATTTTGACTCTCAGTAATTTAAGTGCACCTAATTCGCTACAATTATCGTGAGCAATGTAAACTCGTAATGTCCATTGAGCCGCGAACTCTCTGCTTTCTGTGTCTACAAAATACTTCCTAGAATACTATGTCTCTTAGCGTGGCAATAAAAATCGCTCATCCAGTTAGTATGAAATCGGTTTATCGGCGTTCAAGACAATGTACAACGGAAAATTTTCTTACATCATCCAATTCTCATATCAACACATTTTACGCGTGTTTTACAAAATATGGGAGTGCTTAGTAATGCAGTCTCTTTGTAGGCAGTGCTGTATCGACCCCTACCCCAACAGCTGTGAGCAGTCCACGTGGGAACACCTTAGCTCGGTTATCTCCAAAATTAAAGGGAATCGACTCTACAATCATCTAGTACATTCATTAAGCGCATGATTTCCTTAATCAGTAGTCGAGCGGAAGCCACCATGAAAGATTTAGTGACCTCTGAGGAGGGTGAATATGAGAAACCGTATCAGAACAAATGCTGGGGCACGCAAGATAAATCGTGATGGCAAGTCACGTCAAATAGAAACGTTAGACGAAATAATCTATACGAACTTATCTAGAAGAGCAAATCAAAACAGTATGTCTATCTTTGCAGTTTAGATGCTTTCTCTTGTCACTAGTGAAGCAGTTCAAGCATAATATTTTCCATAATTAGTTCTCATCTACTGGCATCCTATTCGATACGATTCGCCTTCCAAACTCTGAGTAGTCTGTATAGTAGAGTAGATAGTATCTAATATACTATCTCCAATTCTTGGACTATTGATCGTCATCATCCAGAAATGTAATCAGGTACTTAACTACAACATTTAGACCAGATTCCGATAAACTTGAGTTTTACACTAGGCATTTGTATTTCTCTTAATTACACCTGCATCACCTCTCATCCCATTAAGGGTTAGTGACACGAGCGGGCATCAGCGAAACTTCCACTCGTTCTCAGTGAGTGCATGAGTAGACCAGTGAGTCTTTCTTTCAGTAGGGATTCGTTGATCAGCACATTCTCCTTTTAGGTCTTTTGTAAAGAAACGGACTACCGAGCCCGTTGGTCTGTCGTGGCGCTTTTTTTCTTGACAGTTTAGTGGTTAGTACCCACGCTTGTCTTCTTCTCTACATCATCGCAGCAAATTCGCCTCTACTGTGCTCTTTTGAGTGATGCTACGGAGGTTTCGATCATTGCTATTTCTGAACAGTTGTTAAAAGGGATCATTAGATGAAACAGAAAGAAACATTCTCCATTCCGTTTTTTTTAGAACCACATTTCTTTGATTTCACTGAGCCTTCAGTTCTTCCTGCCATGGTCTTCTGGTCGATGATGTGCATAGAAAGGTAATCGGAATTTTTAACGCACGTTTGATTAGGATAGATTTCCTCTTGACCAAATTTGAATCCAAGATGGAACTGTTTTAAAATTGACAGATGAGGTTTCAGAAACAATTTAGAGAGCCGGAAACGACAAAAAATGTGCAACAAGTTTTTTCTTTCTAAGGTACGAAAAAGCTTGACTGGGTGCATTCTGTATCTATTGAATGTTCCAGACTTCTAAGACAGAGATTACGCCGAAACGTCGGTCAGTATTGCACTGGTTTTTTTGTTAACAACATTCTTTTATTCATCGAAGAAACAACGAACCACTGACGTTAACCTTTTTATCCGTTTGCGCATAGAGTCGTCTAGCACATCTACGTACGTCGCACCGTTGCTCTTCGCATCCAGAGAAGTATCTGATAAAGTAGTGTGGTGTTTGACGCGACGATAAAATGTTAGGTCCTCTATGGTATCTTCCTTTTACCCTGTTCAATGAGGCCCAACCATCAGAAAACGCCGATCATAATCACGGAACTTTTTTATGAATTTATGGCTGAAAAATATCACACACTGAATAAGTTTTATTCTCTTTCGCAGACAAGGGAAAGGTTGTTGAAAGTGGAATGACATTATTTGTTTTTCGAGAACTCAACTATGTTGAGACATATGGGGAACTTCAGACCTTGGGCAGTAATTCAACCCTTCTCGAGTGGGCGTGCTAATCGCTGTTGTTTGAGTCGTCATTTATACTGTTTTATCTGCACACTTTTCGCACCCAAATAATAGCTTGGTTCTCATACAACAGAACACGTTGTTGAAGAGGAGCTCACAAAACAGTGGTGTGTCATGAATGATTGAATTGATACAATACAATTTACGTCCCATGTATCCGACAATCAATTACTTCAATTACCCACAAAGTGTCACTTAATGGTTAAAATGGAAAGAAAATTGTTGGTACTCAATCATTTTTGGTCACCTCTTTTGCAGGACAACATCGCATAATTGACTGAGTTTAAGTAATCCTTCCCATTTATCGAACTTATTCTGTTCCTCGGCAATCAGCGATTATTTTTTCAAAGGCATCGAAAGCTACTTTCCGAGCAAATCTTCATTGACCACTGTGAAGTAATTTAAATTCCTTGGGACAACACTTTTTCTTAACAGTGATAGCTTTCATTTTGAACACTAAGCCTCCTCTAATTTCGTCAGTAAAAGGTAAAGGAGAATGCTCCCGGCGTTGATCAATCCTCAAAAGATGCGCCATACACTCGTATTCGATTTTTAGCTTCGTCTAAAGTGACTGATAGCATATCTGGCCCATCCAATGGCTCGTTGTAGCCTACCACTTTCTTGAGTCAGTGCTGCTTATCTTTTGAGACAACTCTGGTACCAATTTATCGACACTGGAGGGACGGATACTTTGATGAGCCATGGGTGCGAGATCAAAATCGAACTTGTGTGTGAAGCAGGGCAACTCTAAGCATTGCGCTACAAACGCTCATTAATCTTGTCAAAATCGATCACGTATTTCTTTTATATGATTATGCTCATAACATGAGGTTAATGACAAACTTTAGTTGGCTAACGTTTCGACGTCATCTTCCATTTTAGAAGCGACGACTCAGGTCGATCGTACGTTACGACGAACGGCTGTGGGCTATCGACTCGAATCAGAACTCCGGGGTAAACAAAGACGTCGAAATATCAAGTAAATAAGTTAATCAACAAACTCGCAATATTGACTAGATCATAAAAAACTAGTATTGATTGACAGTGTATCGGTTTCCAAGAATGCTCTCAATTTTTCAAAAGTAGGGCGTGATTTCCATCGGTTGACAAGACTTACGGTGGTTGGCGCCACCAGAACATTGCCGAATATGAAATGCGCCAAGAGGAACTTGTAGCCCAAAAAGAAACGTGATAAGTTGATCTTGATACGCGCAGCTCGCTACGAAACCACTATCACTGCGCATGAATAAAAAATCCACTCGTCTTTTGTACCAAACATCTCAGAGTCGGCTCAGTGCAGCCTATACATTTCTTCGACAGTCGTTTGTTTCTCAGCTAACAAACTTTCCAACAATGTTAGCTCAGTTGGTTAGATCGTGGGTCTAATAAGCCTAAGGTCTTAGGTTCGACAACTGCTGGCGACACACTGTTTTGCGTGCGATTTAATCGACAAACTTACTCTTCAACAGGCGCTTAACTTCATAGGGATACAGTCGCACTTCCTTTCATTTTTAGTAATATGCTTTTTGTAGGTGTAAGAGAAAAAGCCGCTATAGCTAAGTCGGTTAGAGCGTGGGTCTAATAAGCCCAAGGTCACAGGTTCGAACCCTGCTGGCGGCACATAGTTTTTGCATTCGATTAGACTAACTTACTCTTTCCCAGGCGCTCAACTTCATAAGGATACAGTTGCACTCGTTTTAATTTTGTTAGTAACATTGTTCTTTTTGTAGGTGTAGGAGAAAAAGCCGTTATAGCTAAGTCGGTTAGAGCGTGGGTCTAATAAGCCCAAGGTCGCAGGTTCGTCCCATGCTGGCGGCAGATAGTTTTGTAGCTGCTTTGATACGCACATCCACTTTTACAAGAAAAGTATCTTTATTTGGATGTATTCATAATAGAGTAGCGTACTAATTCGCTTCCTTAAAGCTGTTTTATGTTGATAATCGGCTCCCCATTGCATCGAAACTATAACATTGTGGAGTTTTGTTATAATTGTGTTATCACGCATTGTCCACTCTTTCTATATAAGGCCTCCCTGATTTTTTTCCTTAGTCTTTTGGTAATCATTCAGAAGCTCAAATTTCGGCGATTGCAGTGCAGCGCTTGTTTTCTGAAAAGGCCCTTTTAGTGCGCTGATCAATGATAATAGATTTGAGTTTCAAACTAGGACAATTTTTGTCGGCTAGTATGTATGAAATGCTGTGTAGATGGGATTCTGCAACATTCACAAAAAAAGGCATCGACGCAGCAAGGGTTTGTGTATGGTATTTCAACGGACTTTTAATAGATATTTAATAGCGTAAATTAAGTTGATTCTCAAGCAGGGGAGCGCATGAGGCGCAATGGTTAGAGGTGCCCTGCGTCGCACAAGAGGTCTATGGCTCGATCTCGCACTCATGGCTCACCGGCCTTCCATCCTTCTGGTTTCGGTAAATTGATATTAGACTGGTCTCAGTCTTGTCTGGGCGGATAAGCAGCACTGACTGGATACAGCGAGAGGCCAGCGCGAGTCATTGTAAAGGCCAGATATGCATTCAGTCACCTCAAACGATGTTACAAATTGTAGACGAATGCATGGTGCATACCTGAGGGAATGATCAACGCCGAAAGCTGTATCGTTTCATCTGAAGCAAATTTGGTTTTCGAAAAGGTTTACACTGAGGGGCAAAAGAGTTGAAAAACAAACTGTGCTTTCCTGGGCTTAGGCTGTTTAGGTTTTGACGTAGTAGTGGGCTTATTTAGCAATGTAAAGCGAAAAGGAAAACGCAGTCCGATAGCCCAAAGTTTTTCAACAACAGTTGTACGGAAAACTCGAAATTTTCGAAACTGAGGAGAAATTTTTCAGTTAAACAATGAAAATGCGCGCGATAATGCGCGTTGAATGTAAAACTCGGTTTTATTTTCGCTCCTCCCATGTACTTAGAAAAGGACTTTCTAGAAAACAGACACAGTGTTGGAGTTGCCGAGATTTATGCTGTCGAATGATTACTGAAGTCTGGGGACAAATTGAGAAAGACCTTGCTCTCCCAATAGCTAAGAAATTTTTCTCAATGACAGAATACTACCGGAATTCTATGCATGAAAACAATAGTGATTTAGCTTATCCTAAAGTGATAAGTATGTTGTCACGAAGCTAGTCTATTTCCTAAATCCATTGCATGGAAGAGAAAAGTGGTAAGAATACTGTCATTTTCTAACGGTTGATAACAAAGCGCTATTTCCATGCAGATTAGGACGAAACTTTTTCAAGCCGTTTCGACTTTATTGCTTTCTTCAGTTTCTTCTACCTTAAAACTGGAAATTTTTTAGATCGATATTCCGCAGCCGCTATTTATCACTACACGTGCTAGACATGTTGCAATTACATTCGCTTCACATTTTTCTCTTAGAGCAACTTCTTAGAGGAAAAGGACAAATAGTCCAAACTTCTTTCTTGATAAAATGAGATGTACTTGAAGTATTTTTCGAATATTTCGCCAAAAATCTGCAACCTTTCCTCCAGATCATTTTGGTTTGCTACTGATCAATGCGTTCGTGACGAATGTTTCGTAAAATAAGATTTGTTCTCTTACTGGGCACTAGCAAAAATTGTATCCCGAGTTGAAGTTGAATTGTGTGGATTTCACTGATAATCTCTAATTAGGCGTTGAAGTCGTCGGCGATAAATTTTTTGGTTGACTTTCTGCTACGATAAGACTGGTATGAAAAGACGATTTGACATACAGAGTTGCACGAGAAAGTTCACGCTTTCAAAGTTGTATGAGCAAACAATTTCTTAGCGAGGGAAAAGCTCTCTTATTTGGCCACTGTGTATTGACTTTATTGCTTTTCGCCCATGCCAGTCGAAAATGGAATTTGACGTGACCTGTGATTTGAGAGCATTATGAAGAATATTGCTTGAGAAGACTTTCAAGTACTGTAGGTGAGGGACAGGAAATAGGAGGCTTTGTTGTTCTGATTGCTTACCGACTGTACCACCATTCTGTTGAATCATCGCCTGACGTTGCATATTGTTTGAGAAATAATACTTTCTCTCTTGAATATCACAACTAATAATATGATAACATGTTTTGAGCCTTTTATAAGTTCTAGTATGGCACTTATACAGTACTAGACCTGTAAAGTACTGAATTTCATAACCTAAGTTGGGGTGATTTGTTACTCGGCGTCGATTTCTCCATGTATTTCCCCCTAAGATCGGCTAAACCGAAAGGCACTCTGCTACTGATGAGTCTAGAAAGGTAAAATAGGTCTGTTTAGTACGGCATAAGTACCATATCAGAACTCATAAAAAGGTTCAAAACGTGTTATCATATTATCAAATTATTATTTCTCAAGCGAAGTCTATAAAAGCAGTCGAATGAAGAGATGTTCCAACTGATTTTATCAGGGCTTCCCCAAATTGGTACTCCAGGCAATCGTTGAATTTTATGGATTGAACGAAGGTTCGTCACCTTACAAACAGGTTCTCACCCGAACGCCGCTTATCTGTTGCACTCGCTTGGTATTGTCTGGGTATAATCGTGGAGATATCGAACTTCATCATAATTAAAGTTTCCGTACAGGAATGACTTCGGGTTATCATAGGATAGTAAAGCGTCAAGAAGGGAATTCCAATAGCCAGTCATAATTCTTTCTATTTTGACTGCCACTTGCAGTGGTATGATGTTATTAGTATACCCAATATGTGGAGTACTGTGCAAAAACGTTTGCGTCAGCCGGGATTCGAACCCAGATCTCACTCTTTCTGGGAGCTCCTGCTAACCGTTGCACTACCGACGCTCGTTTTGCACAGCACTCTTATTTACTCCCGGTTAGCATACGCTCCCGGAAAGAGTGAGATCTGGGTTCGAATCCCGGCTGACGCAAACGTTTTTGCACAGTACTCCACATATTGGGTATACTAATTCCAATGGCGTAAATCAAATAATTATCAGGACACAATTTGCCCTCAAAATTCAATCTTTCAAAGAACATTAACTCACCGCTAAGAATAATAGAGGAAGAGTGCAGCAGACTGTAGAAATAGCGGCTTGTAACATGGGCCAACGAACGGATCTCAGTGTATGTTCAAGCTACTGCTGTGGACCACGGACTGGTATTTTTGAAACACAGCCATCACGAACTTCTTTTCGAACTGTCAGCTGAACATAATGCATTAACCGACTACTTTACATGTTGTTATCGGCTCGGCTTCATCGTTACACGTTTAGCATATTCTAAAAGCTGATTTAAATTCACGTAAATGTGATGGACAAGAGATACCTGGCATTGATATGCCACATGAGCATTGAAATCAACGCTCATTCCTATGGACATTAGAAGCGTTGCCATGACAACCGGATCCACATCGAAATTCCATATCGATAAGAATCCAATCACACCTGATGAGCAACTTTTTCGTGAATCATGTACATCTTATGCGACTAAAGAAAAAAAGACTGAAAGGCGAAACAACTCACCTAGGCTAATTGAGGCTATCAATATCCCAGCAGTGATTACGCTGCATGGGTTGGGTATAAACAGTGAGCATACTACAGTCGTGCAAGCGAGTGTGAGCACACCTGTCTATAGAAGAACGGAATCTCATAAAATTTAGTGGAATGAAGTGAAACGAACGGAACACTAGTGCTTTCATGCCCAACATCTAATTTTGGCAAAAAATCTAAGGCTTCTTAGCTTTTTTCATTCCATCAAGCCTAAGAGTGAGCGAACATGCAATGCTCGTGATTTCAGACTCAACATTTGCTCCACAAACATTCCGTTTGCCTCCCAAACACTAGCATTTAGATCTGGATACCTGGAAGTCAGAGAACTCAGAAGCTTAGTTTTAGGAGCACGGGACGGTCGATTTATTGCAAGTGCTAGAAACAAGTACTCTTTGTTTTACTACATACTGTATTCGCTCTGACACTGTGTGTTCGCTACGCGATCACGCCGCTTGCCACCCCAAAAATTATTGTGGTACACAGCGTGTTAAACATAGCAAAGCTGAATTTATGGTCGGAATCACAATCTTTGACTTTTATTTACTGCCTAATCTTTTTCATGACAGAATACGATATGAAATGCTATTACAGAGATGCTGAAATACGAGCAAAACCCCTAAACGTAAAGAGGATTGAAAGATGCGATTACCCCTCTCGGGGAATAAAATATTACCCACTACACTTTCGAGGCCTTGTCAATGGGATTGATCTGGAAAGTACCGTCATCAGAAGAAATAAAGTATAGCTGATGCTATAGTCAAAATCATAGGGTATGGTCTTCATTTCTTCAATTCTGCTATTCATTTTCATGACAGAATAAGATGTAAAAATGCAACCAGAAGAATTTCGTGACATGAGCAGAATTTGCAGCCTGTGGTGACTTCGAACCCTCAATTACATTGCTTGCCGTTTACAGAAATTTCTAGATAAGTTCGTCCCATCTAG